TAGTACATTTGTCACTTTCCTATGCCAGACTTATGCTGCATTTTTTAAAGTGACACTAAACTCCTAAAAATGCATTCAAGTGCCTTCATTATTAACAATAATGTATCTTATTTGTGTATCACTCGGCTGTAGATCCTCAAATCATCTCTGAATTCATGCTGACACTGTCCTTCCTTCTACTACTTTTGTTCCCCATGGTCCCTGTGTGTGTTGTAAAGTAGCCACCACTCCAAGCTCGCTGCTGTGATGGACTACAATCTCATGTTTAGTTAGTTAATTTGTATTGAGATTGTAGCCCATCACAGGAGTGAGCTTGGAGTGGTGACTACGTTACAACATGCACAGGGACCATGGGGAACAAAAGTAGTCACCCTCCAGAAAGAAGAACAGTGTCAGCACTAATTCAGAGATGATTTGATGATCTACAGTTAAAGAAGTATTGGTCTGGGTGCTTTTTTTACCCTAATGCATTCTCTGCATTCCAGTAAAAACCACACAGAACCTTTTTCTCCCCCAGTGCCCCCTACACTTACCTGTCAGCGATGCTCGTCCCCGCCGCCGGTCCCGAGGTGATCCTCCGTTCCCCGTACTTCCTGGTTGCAGGGGGAGAATACTGATGGCAGAGGAGCCATAGGCTCCTTCTGCCGTCAATCAAAGAGAGAAGGGGGAGTGGCCTGCCACAGGGCTGTGTGTGTCTATGGACGCACACAGCCACTGCGGGCACAAGCTCGCACGGGTGCCTCCATTAGTCGATGGTGGCACCTGTACAGGGGGCTGGGGGGAAAACGCTGCGGGGACTCACTTGAAAGCGAGAAATTAAAAGATTTTAAAGAAAAACAACAACAGCGTCAGGCAAAGGTGGGCATCCCTATAGGAAATATATTTTAAAAAAAGGAGGGTTTAATATCACTTTAATAGTTAAGGTACTTGAATGCATTTATAAGATTTAACTCCCGAGTCTAGTGTCACTTTAACCTTCTCATACTGACTGGCACTGCAAGATGAAGTCAAGATTCCCACACCACAAGCGCATATAAGCACTTAAGCAAGAAACTGTTTCTTGCTCCACAATGAGCTCATTCCAATTGCTACACTTAAAAGCCAAGTTCCTTTAAGTGTAGCAATTGGAATGAGCCAATTAGTGAACTAGCTTCCTTTTAGACAATATTTCATGTTACACGCATACTCAGGGTGTAACATGAAAAATGGTCGCACAGGGAAGCCCCTACACACCCCCCACTTACCTGAATCGTGGGGTTCTTCTTCCTGCAAGCTGCTGCTGTATTCTGAATTCAGTATGGCTGTGAGTGGCTACAACAACGCAGCTACATCATCCATTTACAGAGCCTGTATAGCCCCATTAGCCACCACGGCAGAGAGACTTGGAATACTAGTGTGGTGATGTCACTGCACTTGTAGTCTATCAATTCTTCCTCCTGTCCCTCGGTATGGACATTCAACAACATGGTCAGAAGGAAGAGCCTGCAGCCAGAGTATTGTCCATTGCAGCTTGCAATGCTTTACTGGCACAGGGACCATGGGGAACAAAAGTAGCCACCCTCCAGAAGGAAAGACAGTGTCAGCATGTGATGGACTACAATATCAATACAAATTAGTAAACTAAACATGAGATTGTAGTCCATCACATGACCGAGCTTGGAGCGGTGACTACTTTACAACACACACAGGGACCATGGGGAACAATAGTAGTCACCCTCCAGAAGGAAGGACAGCGTCAGCAGATGATGATTGATTCAGAGATGATTTGATAATCTACAGCCGAGTGATAAACAAATAAGATACATACACATAGTGTATTGTGTGTAAAGGCAGAGCTGGCGTTTACTGATCATCCTACCTAGGGTGACCGGGAGGGGGGCAGCCGATTACAATCTGACACCCCGGTTGTCAGACTGATTTTCCTGTGGAGAAAATGTTCAGGCCTAATAAAACCTTCATAAAAAAATGAAGAAAGCCTGCAATGCGCATCATGAAAATGTGCACACATATGCAGCACTGCACCTCTACATTACCACAATAAATGCTAATCACTTACAAAAGGTGAAGACAGACGAGCTTAGTGCCAGTTGGTTTCACAGAAGAATCCTACAGGAAGTCTCTAGTAGTGAAATATATGAGCAATTACTGCCCTCTCGCTGCTCTCCAGAACAGAAAAGCTGGGCTCTGTTCCCCAACACACAGGAAAATCACTGAATGGACTTATTCTTTAAACTTGTTATGTATGTTGATACAATGCCCAGAAACAACCAACAGCATCCATCTAACACATTGCTTCAAAGCAATGTCCTGTGTAATAGCACATGTGAATGACTTTTGCCTGTCAATATATGAGTCTATGTGGCTATTATGCGGCAAGTAGGAGTCTATGGTAAGGGTAAGGTCAGGTGAAGTTTGTGTGAACACTTCACGTTGCAGAAACCAGCATATGGCTGACCGGGAGGGAGAAGAATGTATGTATATGGGTGATCAGAGTGCAATACGTTAAGTATGGCTCAACAAACAGGCATCACAACCTAAATCCACTGTCTTACAGATACTGTAAGCCTTAAAGGCTCAGTCCACCTTCTTTTACATATTTCACATTACACTCACATTTAGGATGGAACATTAAAAATTGGTCACAACCCCGCACGCTCAAACTGCCCCCTTACTTACCTGAATCACGGGTGCTTCTCCCTGGAGCATTCTGTTGGGTTTTTAATGTAGTGCGGCTGTATGTGGCTCCACCTTCCCATTCCACATCATCTATTCACAGACCCATTCACAGGGATCTGTG